TTTTCATAAAGTAAATCAGAGCTGACATTTATTTGAAGAACATACACTGTTTCACCCCAAGGGTGTATTTGTGATAATATTGTTTTAAGCCAATTAGCTTTGGGGAGGTTTGTTATATAGTACTATTGTAATTTATTTACACTGTTGTTGTAGTTTTGTTGTTTTTAAGTGCCGTAGAGTCGTTTCCAACCCATAACGATCCTGCATAGGGTTTCTGAGGAGCAGCTGGTGAGCTTGAACCGCCAACCTTACAGTTCAAAATGACTTCACAGTCCAGTACATCAATCCACAGCGCCACACCAGGACTCCATTTACACTGCTCTGGTAGCGGAGTGGTTACAAATTGGGCTGCGAACCTGAAGGTCAGCAGTTTGAAACTACCAGCTGTTCCACGGGAGAAAGATGAGGCTTTCTGCTCCCATAAAGAATTACAGCCTTGGAAACACCCTGTACAGGGTCGCTGTGAGTTGGTTCCGACTCCACAGCACATAACCACCACCACCACAGAATGTAAATTCCAGTTTGTGGAAGGTTGTGTTTTACAGTGGGAGTCTTAATTCCATTTTGAGTCATACCCTAAGTTCATTAGCTACTAATGTTGGAAGCTCTGCTCTCAGGCAGTTTTCCTGGATGTGTCCTTAAGGACTTACTGCATGATCACCTGGGAGTGGGAGTGCCAGGGCCACATAGTCATGAGTCAAACATACCCTAGCCATCAAGTAGCCAGGTGAAGGGCTTCAAATCAATCCTTTTGTAATCTGTAATCATGTATGTATCCCAATAGTGGTCTTTTCCTGCTTCAGTAGTTCTGCCTGCAACAATGATGAACTGATCTACTGCCAATCAGATTTTGTGATGATATCCTTTGTTTTCTTTGTCTATTAATTAGCCACATGACTATTAATCCTTTGCATACCATTATGGTCTTATGCTGATGGTGTTCGTCTTCCAAATGATTTTTTGGCTTGTCTGATAAAGGCATAATAAAGTGGTCCCTATTGGGGTCCTGCTTACAGCCAAGATCCATCAGACATCAGCAATGATATCCCTCATTCCATGGCCTCTTCTGAATCTGCCTTGAACCTCAGGAAGTTCTCTGTCAATGTATGATTGTAGCCATTTCTGTATTACCTTTAGCAAAACTTTGCTGGCATGGGATATCAAAGAGATTGTCTGGTGATTTCCATATTCCATTGGGTCACCTCTCTTTGGAATGGGCATAAATATAGATCTCTTCCAATCAGTCGGCCAGATAGTTGTTTTCCAAATTTCTTGGCAAAGATGAGTGAGTGCCTCCTGTGCTTCCTCACCGCTGGACCAATAAACAACATTCTTATCAACAGAGAAAAGATTGAAGTGGTCAAGGACTTCATTCTTCTTGGATCAACTATCAACACTCACAGAAGCAGCAGTCAGGAAATCAAACCGCGTATTGCATTAGGCAAATCTGCTGCACAAGGCCTTTTTAAATGTTGAAGAACAAAGATGCCAGCTTGAGGACTAAGGTGCGCCTGCCCCAAACCATGGTATTTTCAATAGCCTCATATGCATGTGAGAGCTGGACAGTGAATAAGGAAGACTGTAGAAGAATTGATGCTTTTGAGTTATGGTGCTGGAGGAGAATATCGAAAGTGCCATGGGCTGCCAAAAGAACCAATAGATCCTTTTTGGAAGAAGTTCAGCCAGAGTGCTCGTTGCCAAACTTCATCTCTCATGGCCAAACTTTGTCTCTCATACTTCGGACATATTGTTAGGAGGGACCAGTCACTGGAGAAGGATATCATGTTTGGTAAGGTGGAGGGTCAGAGAAAAAGAGGAAGACCCCCAATGAGATGGATTGGCCACGTGGCAGCATCGATGGACTCAAGCGTGGCAACAGTAATGAGGTTGGCCCAGGATCGGGTAGTGTTTCATTCTGGTGTGCATTGGGTCGCTGTGGGTCAGTACGGCCTCAGTGACACCTAACAACAACATTGGAGTCCTAGTGTGATGCTATAATATAAGCACTGGACTGCTAACTCCAAGGTCAGCAGTTTAAACCCACCAGCTACTCCTTGGAAACCCTATACAGGATCACTATGAGTCAGAACTGACTCAATGGCATTTAACAGCAACAAAAAGTTTGAATTTGAGTTTTTTTCCTTAAATAAATACTGATACTTATTGCTCATGCAAGTGACTTTCAAAAAGCATGTGGAAAAATGGAATTAAAAGAGAATGGAAATTTTCAATAACTTTTTGGAGCTCCTTTGTATAATTGGAGTCCAGGTAAGGTTTGAACAGAATTCCCAGTCTGTTTTTGCTGTGGTTTTTATGAAGCTCGATACCATATCTGTCTTAGTGGAATGGAGATTGTAGCTGTTTTAGGCTTCACACTTACACAATGCATTATCCATGAAAAAAAGGTTTTTCTTCTCTAACCATCATCCACAAGCTTGAGCTCCATTATGATTAGCCCATCTTAGGCTACGTGTCTGTCCTGGGCCATTCATTGAACAGAGGACGGAATTATATAATTTGGTTATGTCAATTAGAATTCTCTCCTGAAGCCCACCTCTCTTCCAAAGCCCATGCTGTGTCATATTAAAGGGGTGGGACAAATACTGGAGAGGCTTCAGCAATGTTAATTATGGAAAGATTCTAAATCCTCCAAATCGTCTTTTATATTTCTGTTAGTGCATTATTTGACTCAAGGGATCTTTCTCTGCCATGTTGAGAGACTAACTGGGACTAGAGATAGAGACCTGGTGAATGGCAAGAAGTATGGTCACACCCATGCTACTTAAGGCACTAGGAATGAAAAGTGCAACAACCCAAGTTTGTTTGGGAACTCAAGTTTATATAAGATTTAACTGTAAGCCCGCTGGAATTCTAACTCCTGGTATCTCAAGATTTTCAGAAAATGAAAAATGGGTTTGATTTGCTATAAATTGGAGGTCACTGACCTAAAGGATGAATTTATGCTGATGCAATGAGAATATAATTGCATATTATATTCTTCCACTTACTTCTGGTTTCCATTGTTTCTGATGAGAAGTCAGCTGTCGTTCTTGTTATTGTCCAGACACAGTAAAGTACTCAATAAAAATATGTTGAACTAATGAATTAAAAATTGGACCAGTGTCTTCTGATGCATAGTCTAACATTCGTTCAAGAATACCTCACCATCTCTTTTTAAAACCTTCATTTGTATATTTAACCACTCTCATTTCAGCTTCTGTGGAAAAAGGAATCAAATGAATCAACCAGGTAATTTTCCAGGCATGAGCAGTAAAGTGGTCGCTCAGTTACTTTTTGTGTTTCTGAGTATCCTCAGTGGCCCTGAAATATTGGAATGAATGAACTACTATGATCATTTAACACATTTTCTTTATCATTCAATAAATACTTTTTTTTTTCAACTTTTTGCCATGTACTTTTTTTTTTTAATGTTTTATTGTGAATTACATAGTTTACATGAGAGAACTTTAGTTTTACATTCTTTCCATCGTATATCATTTCATTGCCATGGTTCCAGTCCCCCCCATGCATCATCAACC